GATAATAGTTATGACAGCTACCAGATGGATAATACTTTATCAGCAGCAGTACATTTCCTTTGAAAATATTATTATTTTTTAAATGTTTATGGCTGTTTGACTGCGTGTATGTCTGTGTACCACATATATATCTGGTGCCCATGGAAGGCAGAAGAGGGTACTCCATCAACTGGAACTGCAGTTACAGATAGTTGTGAGCTGCCATGTGGGTTCTGGGAATCAAACCTGGGTCCTCTGGAAGGGCAATCTTAATGGCTGAACCATCTCTCCATCCCCAGCAATGCACATTCACACTCAGTCCATCCACAAAAACCTGTGATGTTGGTATTATTATCTTTTTAAAAATTTTCCTCTTTCCAGATCAGAAAACAAAGGCTGATTGTGGCCACTTGCCTGGATGTACCCAGCTACTAACTGCTGGCTGCTACTGTTGCTTTGATTATTTACTGTTATTTGATTATTTACTATTATTTACTGTTGCTTTTGATTATTTTTTTATTTTAGTTAATTGACAGAGCTGCTCTTAAGTTCCCTCTGGAATACATAAGAATTTTAATGAACAGCTTAGTCAGAGAGGAGAACCAAAAGGATTTTTTTTTTCTCCAGATCACTGTTCTTTTTGCTACCCCCCATGGCCTATGTTCTTCTTAATTTTATAATGAGGAGTAGAATAAGGAGTTCCAAGTCTTCCTCTGTTGCTGACAAAGGCAGAAAAGAGTGCTTTTCTCCAGAGCTAGAACCTGGTGACCTGGAGTCCTTTCCTTCCTCAGGAGCCAGATGGGGCCTGGTAGTGCTGAGTGGAGGGGGAACCTCTGGCCGAATGGCGTTCCTCATGTCTGTGAGTACCTTAATTCCCTGTTTCTTTCTCCTCCTCCTGGGGATAACACCCAGAACCAAAAGGCTCATCTAAGATAAGTTCTTTCAACAGATACAGTCTTTCCCCACTTCCTCTCCAAAACCTAGAGCCCGGGATGGAGTCCGATTTCTCAGGCCCCACTAGAGCCACAGCACTCTCTGGTTAACATCCGCACATCTCGTGCGTCACTAAGTAATCCTCTCCAAGTTGCATCTTTAAGTGGCAGACTCCAAATAAGTTAGGGTTGAGCATCGGCCTAAGAAGACCCTTATCAATCCTCCAGGAACTGAGAATCCGTGTTATATCCTCTCTATCACTCTGTCCTTATACTCTCTCCCCTGACAGGGGTCTTTCAACCAGCTGATGAAAAGTCTAGGACAAAAGCCTCTTTACACCTATCTCATTGCAGGGGGTGACAGGTAAGTTACCCCAACCTGTACTCATGGCCTGAATGTCTTTTTAGAGCCTCAATTTAAATGAGTTTAATCAAGGATTATATTGAACCCGCCTCAGTCTCCACCATCCCGTGTGGCCTTGTATCTGGCCCTGTCACATATGTTTATGCCTACCTGGCACTTGCAGTTAGTTAGGTTTTTAAACTCTGGGGCATGTCTATCATGATGCCTGATAATCAGTAGGCACCCATTCAATGATGGCTTTCCTCCATCCCTTTCTCTCAGTGTGACCTTCACTAACCATCTATCGGTATCTGCTTCTTAGCTAGTGCACTGACCTCAACTGAGTTTGCACCCTTAGGTCTGTTGTGGCCTCTCGGGAACGGACAGAAGATAGCGCCCTACACAGGATCGAGGAGCTGAAGAAGGTCAGTGTTTCCTGTTATGATACACCTGGAGACGCCCTTATGTTCCTTTTCATAGGGTTAGAAAAATCCCACCCTTCAGCTAAGGCCTGGCCCCTGCTCAGTCCCTGATTTTCTTACACACTAGACTTGGACCCTGGAGACCCTAACACCCACCCCCCTTCATTCCTAGGTGGCTGCTGAGAAGAAGAGAGTTGTTGTCATAGGCATTTCCGTAGGGCTCTCTATAAGTGAGAGGACAGGAGGAGTGGGTCAGTTTGTTTGTTTGTTTGTTTGTTTGTTTGTTTTGAGACAGGGTTTCTCTGTGTAGTCCTGGCTGTCCTGGAACTCACTCTGTAGACCAGGCTACCCTCGAACTCAGAAATCTACCTGCCTCTGCCTCCCAAGTGCTGGGATTAAAGGTGTGCGCCACCACTGCCCGGCAGTGGGCCGGTTTTACTAGGATGAAGTTGGTGGAACTAGGCTGCCATGGACAGTGGATGCTAGGTGATGAGGTGGATGCTGACTGTGTAATTGAATGTCCACAACCAAGATGGACAGACCAGTCCAGGGGGTCAGTAAGCTACTCTGGCAGTCAGTGTAGCCAGCTGCCTGAATTTGTAGATAGTTTTACTGGCATGCAACCTTTGTGTTTACTCAGAATTCGTGGCCTCTTTTGTACTGGGCTTAAGTAGTTGGACAGAGATCATAGGGCCTACAAAGCCTGAAGTATTTACTCTCTGGCTCTTCATAAACGAGTCTGGCCCTTGGCTTCATTCCCACCAGCAATATCTGCATCAACTCTGCCTGCTTGAGAGTACAGGATCTCAGGTACCAGTGGGTCAATCTGCATTTTAACAAGAGTCTCACCATATTTGTATAGCTAGCATGGACTATACATGAGGAAGTTATAGCTCAAAGAAAAAGTAGTTTTCTTGGGGAACTTGTTAAAAGTATGCTCTGCTTTCCAAATTTGCATTCAATAAGGCCTTTGTTTTGTTTTGTTTGTTTGTTTTTTGAGATAAGGTTTCTCTGAGTAACCCTGGCTGCCCTGGAACTCCCTCTGTAGACCAGACTGGCCTTGAACTCACAGAAATCCACCTGCCTCTGCCTCCCAAGTGCTGGGATTAACAGCATGTGCCACTACCCAGTGGTGGAGTCACTAAGTCTTGGCTGAGGAATCTATTTCTAGGAAGCATGCTGAGTCAGGTTCCATGTGGATCTCAGGAAACACTCAGAGGAGCTTCCTTTATCATACCTTCCTTTCTTGCTACTCTCAGGCGCCCTTTGTGGCAGGCCAGATGGACTACTGCATGGATAACCCAGATATCTTCTTGCCGGTCCTGGTTGGCTTCAATCCAGTGAGCATGGCCAGGTGAGGCTTCTGTAAGACCGACCAGGGATGCCCGAGAAAGGGACATGTCAAAGTCTATAGTATTATCACCAAGGAGAAGACAGATAGGTGTATAGTCTGGCTGCCAAGTCTCAGAATGTAAAAGTAATGGAGTAGTCTCTCAGCGTATGGAGTCTTTGCTTCTTCATTTTAAATGTTCTCCCCTTGTTTCAGAAATGATGGAAGGCAGCTTACAGAAGCTACATAAGCTGGGAAGGATCTCTGAGTTTAAGGCCAGCCTGGTCTACAGAGCAAGTTCTAGGACAGCAAGGGATTCATAAAGAAGCCCTGTCTTGAATAAACAAACAAATAACCCATCTCCTCCAAAAATACACAAACAAACCCCCAAAGCTACATAAAACACAAGCTTGCACAGATTCAAACAGGGATTGGAGAGGTAGAGAGATAAGAACTACAAGGAAAACAACTAAACCAACCAACCAAACAAACAACCAACCAACCAAACAAACCAGGGTCAGGAAAGTCTGTTTTATCTGGGGTGAGCCCCGGGCATCTTTTCAGAGTGGTAGTGGGTCCCAGGTGACCACCCTCTCCTCTTCTCAGCTTCCTATTTCACACTCTTTCCTTCATCATTCCAGACCCTCTTTGGCTCCTCACATCTGCCCCTCTTCCCACCCTGAAGCTCTGTGCTACAGATC